AATTAAAAAAAACACGTTTTTTGACTTCTACTTAAAAAATCTTTTACTGATCTACAAAGTCGAATGAAACAAACTGCTAAATAGATTCAAAATTTTGTCCTGAGTTTAAAAACACCCAATGTTTACGTGTTTTTTTGCTTTTATTTGCAAGTTATAGGGCTATAAGTAGAAGTAGGAAATTGCTGTTTCAAAATGTACATTTTTCAAATGTATCAATAGTGACATTGTAACACTGTTATGCATAAATCTCCAAAAAACACCCCATATCTATATATTTTTCTTAAACTAGATAACCCAGGGTATTCATCTAAGAATATTTTGATACTTTCTATGCAGCCATTTTACCACAAACCTTCGCCAAACTTTGCATAGGTAGTTTATTTATTTATTTATTTTCACATACATTGCAATTCAGGTATAAATTCACAGATTATGTTAGGTGTCACTGCCAAACAACACCCCAATATGTGTTAAGCAACATCTCTTGAGTACAGGGATACCCCCCATATATAGGTGTGTTGGATTGTTTGGGGCTAAAAGGCCACATTTGGCAGGTGCGCATATCAGTTTCCCAGCTTGGAATTTTGACGTGTAGTCAACATGCATGCATGTCCTATTTGGGACATTTTTTAAGCCAGACAATGTATTTTACCCCCATCAAACCATATATTTTTGAAAAGCAGACACCCTAGGGTATTTCACATGGTGGTATTTTAACACTTCCCATGCAATAATTCTACCACCAGGCTTTGTCAAACATTGAGGTAGTACATTTTTTTCTGTTTTTTTCCCCCACACATTGTACTTTAGACACGCATTAACAGATCCTGTTATGTGTCACTGCCAAACAACACCCCAATATGTGTTCAGCAAGATCTCCTGAGTACAGTGCATAGGCCTGTTGGGTTCTTTGGGGGCTAAAAGGCCACGTTTGGCAGGTGTGCTTATCAGTTTCCCAACTTGGAATTTTTACATGTAATCAACCTGCGCCCATGTCCCATTTGAGCCAATGTATTTTACCCCCATCAAACCATATATTTTTGAAACGTATTTCACGTGGTGGTATTTTAACACTTTTCATGCACTGAATTCTACCACCAGGCTTTGTCAAAGATTGAGTTAGTAAAATTTTTTCTGTTTTTTTCACACACATTGTACTTTAGGCATGAATTAACAGATCCTGTTATGTGTCACTGCCAAACAACACCCCAATATGTTCAGCAACATCTCCCGAGTACAGGGATACCCCCCATGTATAGGTGTGTTGGGTTGTTTGGGGGATAAAAGGCCACATTTTGCAGGTGCGCATATCAGTTTCCCAGCTTGGAATTTTGACATGTAGTTAACCTGCATGCATGTCCTATTTGGGACATTTTTGAATCCGGCCAATGTATTTTACCCCCATCAAACCATATATTTTTGAAAAGTAGACACCCTAGGGTATTTCACATGGTGGTATTTTAACACTTTGCATGCACTAATTCTACCACCAGGCTTTGTCAAACATTGAGGTAGTAATTTTTTTTTCAGTTTTTTCACACACTTTGTACTTTAGGCATGAATTAACAGATCCTGTTATGTGTCAATGCCAAACAACACCCCAATATGTTCAGCAACATCTCCCGAGTACAGTGATACCCCCCCATGTATAGGGTTGCTGGGTTGTTTGCGGGCCAAAAGGCAACAATCAGAACTTGTACATGTCAGTTTTTCAACTTAATATGTAGGTATGCTTGGTCTATCTTCAGTTTGACATATTTTTGCACCCCCAGTTAATGTTACCATCATGAAAGTATATATAGTATATATTTTTATAAAGTAGACATCAAAAGTTATAGAAGATGGGATGTTTTGACTTCTTTCCCCCAACCATTTTGCCCCCCCAAAAAAACAGAGAAAGTGTAGTGGTAATTTTTTAATTCTGGTTTTTATGCACATGTCATCTGGTTTTGGCCAGCTGGTTATGTGTTACTGCCAGAAAACTTGTTAGACCAAATGTGCAGGTAGCAAATGTACATTCAGCAGCAATATTTAAACTGACTCCTGCAAATAGAATCTAACAGGAGATTTGGGGGAAGGAAACTGACTAACAAAAAATGGCTGCTTTCCAAAGAAACAAAAAATAAAATAAAAATTCAGGAACACTTCTTACAACTGTTCTATGTGGTACAGCTTGAAACATGTTCCTACACACAGTCCTGGTTTCGAAGGGCAATCAGGACAGTGAAAAGGGGTTTCTGTCCTTTTCCCGTTTTTAAAACAGACCCGGCAATGTTTCTGGGTTTTTTTTTTCTAGCAGTTGGCGGTAACTTAAAAATAAAATGCATGGACTCAGCTTGTCCATCTCCATAAATTGTTAAAGAAATTATTTTCAACTGAAATTGGAGAAAGGTGGTTTTCCCTGGATTATTTTTTTTTTTTTAAAGCATAAATGAGTTGTGGGTTGCTATTTGCATCAGATAGATAGCCACCTTTTTATACCATGCTTTGGTTTTTCATTAAATAAGATATGGCTGCATCAGCTGATCAGCCAAATGAACACCCCGGCCCCGGACAGAGACGTCTGACATGCGTTCGTCATGGATGGTGGTTAGCATGTTGACATCCTTACTGTACCTAAATTTTAGTGCAAGCACTTCAGCTTTGCAAAGTGCTTTACATTCGCCTTTTTTTAATTTTGCCTCTATGAGAGATCGTGGAAAGTCTTTGGAATTTTTTCTGGCAGTGCCACAGGCCACAGTGTCTGTAAACCATAAAGTGTTTTAAACAGTCGCTCACACGCCGCTATAAAAATTATCCACATAAAGGTGGTAACCTTTATTAAGCAAGGGGTTTGGTAGGTCCTATACAAGTTTCCCACTTGTCCCCAGGGAGTCAGGACAGCCAGGAGGGTCCAGTTGACATCTTTCCCCTCATATACATGAAAGGCAAACGTGTATCTACTTTCGCTCTCTCACAGTTTGTACAGTTTTATGCCATACCTAGAGCGCTTTGAGGGGATGTATTGTCTGAACCCTAATCTCCCTCTATATTTCATTAGTGATTCATCTATGGATACATTTTGTTGGGGGATATAAACATCCGAAAATTTGTCCTGAAAATGGTCTAGCAGTGGGTGTATTTTATGAAGTCTATCGTATTGGCTGTGATCTCTAGGGTGACCAAGGGTATTGTCACTGAAATGTAAAAATCTCAGCAGTAACTCGTATCTGGCTATAGGCATGGTTTGGGAGAATACTGGATTAGACATTATTGGGTTGGTGCTCCAGTATGAGCAAATCGATGTCTTCTTTATAATCCCCATGAGCATTGTAAGAGCCCAGGATTTTTTAAGCTCTGGGACATCTGTGGGATGCCAGTCATGCTCCCTGACTGTATAGCTAACTGGATTGTTATCAATAAATTGTGTAGCATACAAGTTAGTCTGGGAAGCAATCTCCTCCCAGATGGTATCCCCTAAAAATAGTTCTACATACTGCATTGGGGAGAAGCCATCTACATTAACATTAATGCCTGCGTTGGCACTAAAAGGGGGGACATTGGGCTCGGCTAACTGTGGAGGTACCCAGTCCTCCTCCACATTCGGCGTAGCAAAGGAAGCACAGCTTCTTTCTTCAGCCAGCTCACACACAGATGACATGTCGTCTTGACTAGACGTGTCAGAAAACTGACCTGGATCAAAATCTGACGCAGTCTCAGTGGCGTCAGAGTCTGACGCCAAGAAGGCATATGCCTCCTGCAAGTTATACATATGCTGCATGTTTTACACACGACTAAAACAAATTACAAACACACCAATTGGCTGTTACTATCTGCCTGGGATGTCTGGCAGATAGTTACAGTGTTATACCGGCGGGAGCGATCTTTGATCGCTTCCCGCAGCCCTTTTTTCGCTATGACGGTTCAAGACCGTCAGCGGTCCAAACGCACATTTAACTGCTTACGGTCCTGAACCATCAGCGGTCCTGAAGAGGTTAAATTGAGGCCTTATTGTCTATAACGTTTAAGGTTTTGTGGTATAAAATTGAGGTCTTATTGTTTATATAAGATAAATATTCAATGTTTTATATTAATGGATATACAATACCATCATACTGTGTGCATTATCTAAAGATGCTGTGCAGTTCTACTGTGCAATGTTGTGTTCTCTCTTGCAGTAAAACCTCATTATCATTTTTCATCCTCTTTCTCCATTGCCTTGGGAGGATTTCACTCCCTCTCTTCATCTGCTTGTTCTTTATTTCTGATTTATCTGCGATCTCAGCTCTCACTTGCTGCTAATTATTTAACTCCTTGTCTTACACACTTATACACTCTCGTATACAAGTGTAAAATTATATATATATAGTTACCAGATCCAACATGTTTTCAAGGACACATAGAATTTTGTCATATTTATGAAATGCATAAAAAGTGTTGCCTTGTATGTATATTGTACAGGATTCTTCATGGCCTAATTGCCTAATCTTACATACCTTCTTCTGAAATCTACATACTACAGGGCAACCTTTTTCATGTGCTGCCCATCAATATGTACATGTGGTATGTGTCCCTGAAAACATAGTGGATCAGGTAACCCTGTATATATGTGTATATATACAGTTGCAAGAAAAAGTATGTGAACCCTTTGGAATCATATGGATTTCTGCACAAATTGGTCATAAAATGTGATCTGATCATCATCTAAGTCACAACAATAGACAATCACAGTCTGCTTAAACTAATAACACAAAAGAATGAAATGTTGCCATGTTTTTATTGAACACACCATGTAAACATTCACAGTGCAGGTGGAAAAAGTATGTGAACCCCTAGACCAGTGACGGCGAACCTTTTTGAGCCCAAGTGCCCAAACCGTAATACATGCCAATTTTTTTTTCCCTCAAAGTGCCAAAACGGCAATTAAACCTGAATATTGAGGTTTAAGTTTAGAAAAAACAACTCATACAGTTGTCCGAACTAATTAACATCTCTGTGTGTGTATTAAGCAGTTTGTGTGTGTGCTCGGCAGTCTGTCTGTATGTGTATTTAGCAGACTGCTGAATACACAGTCTGCTAAATACACACACACAGACTGCTAAATACACACAGACTGCCGAGTACACACACAGACTGCTAAATACACACACTGCATTGAGGGGTACAGTGTATGTGTTTGTGTGTGCGGTGATGTGTTTGTGTTTGTGTGTGCGGTGATGTGTTTGTGTGTGGGGTGTGTGTGTGGGGTGATGTGTATGTGTTTGTGTGGGGTGATGTGTGTAGGGCAGGGGTGCTGTGTGTATGTCGTCCCCTCTCTCCCCCCCCCACTGTTTTCTTTCCCCCCATCCCTCCCTCATTTTCCCCCCCCATATCTCTCCCTCAGTTTCCCCCCCATATCTCTCTCCCTCTCTCCCTCATTTCCCCCCCCATATCTCTCCCTCAGTTTCC